GCTTTGCTCTATCGAATGGTATCCTATTCTCTAACTAAAACTGGGAAGTGCATGACTTATTGCGTCAAAAAGCCAAAATAGAAAAATTTATTAGACAGCCTAATGTATAGCTTATTCTAGCTTATTCGTCTCTACAACTGGACTATATCAGTTGATTTGTCATTACCACCAGTTATTTGTTACCTTTCTCTATATAGAGCAGAAGGTCAATTTTTCAACACTTCCATCAGGGATCTGTAATGTTTTATATACACAACTCAAGGGAAGGGGCGTGGGCGGGCCAGTAGAGTTTTAAAGCGCATTTTCGGGACTTAGTGCATGCATTTGCAGGTGGGTTTGGGCTACAGTGTACTTGAGGAAACCCATACTATATCTTCAGAAGTTAAAATTGCAAAGTCGAAGCGATAAGCGTTTTAGTGACAAGTTCGGGATATGTGAAGATACAGTGCTTTAGATAATGGCTGAACAATTGAAGAAGTATATGGAAAAACTAGATGATCTTCCACCTTTTATTCGCAAAAACGCAGAAGAGATCCGTGAGCTTGATGAAAAGGTCGGTCTGGCACTTGTGGCTCGGTATATTTTACAGTATTGCTTCTATTCAGGTTGAGAAAATAATGCACGATATACAAATTCGCACAGTCGCACACGTTAAGAATCTGAAGAAAACCACTAGAGAACAGCGAGTGAAGTGGTACAAAGAAGTCCAGGTAACGTATTTCTTTCTTTCCCTTTATCACTTTTTTCTCCAATCATCACGCTTCATATTATAGGAACTGCTTTATGAGTTTGAAAGTGCCAAATCTTGTTTTGTTTTCTTGTCTAGTTTTTTACTTTTTTCATTGTAGGCAATGTACAAGGAAGCTGATAAGCTGAGTGAGAGGAAAGTTAAACTAGCGCAGAAAATGTACGACACTGTTGACATGCACATTAAAGAGATGGATCAGCAGCTCGTAGAATTCCAGGAGTTCCAAGTCAAGAAGTACAGCGAAGGCCAACCAAAAGCAGGTGTGATCATGAGCTGACAGTTTTCGGCCTTTTTGTTTCTGTTTAGCTGTCCACCTTAGTCTTGCCCCTTGCAGGTACTTCTAATGCAGAGGGTCAGAAGCGAAAAGGAGCTGTAGCCGCTATAAAAGGAGAT